AAAGGGGGGGGGGGGTGCGTGCCTGCAAAGACACTCCGAAGCTCAAGTTAGTGCTCGGCGTAATAAATGCGGTAGTTCAGAGTTAATTACGTACCTCGTTGGGGTCCTATTTATAGTGGTTCTTATTGGTCTGCAATTAGGGACTGGGCCCCGGAAAATTAGGGGTCTAATCCTGTGCATTATGTTAATTAATCTCTCCGTAACCATCTAGATGATGTCGACATGCTCGGCCGACTCCGCCGACACGTTTCACCTCATGTGGGGGTAGTCGGCGGGTTCGGGTACTCGGCGCAAGTAGCGATCTCGGGGTATTCGGGCGTAGGGGTAGTCGGCGGGTTCGGGTACTCGGCGCAAGTAGCGATCTCGGGTATTCGGGCTTTTCGGCCACCATACGGTATAATTTTTATAAAATAAAAATAAAAAAAGTTGATTTATCCGTGTACATGCATGTGTAACAGTGCAAGTCATCACAAGCAAGATTTTTTTTTTTTTTTTATAAGCAAAATAGAATTAACAAGAGTATAAAAGGTACTCTAACTTATATACACATAGTTTTTTACAAAATAACTTAAGAAAGTTAATTCAATCCACGTCAACCCAAAAACTCACAAAAAGAACGACTTAATTAGCTAATAACCGACAAACTTCTCGTATCCCAGAAAGTTAACAACCAATGTGCAGTATTAAGAGAGGCAGACACCAGAAGAATTGGACCAAGAAAAGAAATTATACTTGAAAGAAGGGAATCTGGCCCTTAACCATCTCCATGAGCGTAATTGTACCAGATTTAACATTTCGGAAGCATGAGTTATTTTAGAGCTGAATATGAGGTCATTTCTTGCCAGCCAGATGGTCCAAATAACAGATAACCACATAAGAATCCAACAATTTTGATACTTTGCAGAACAGTACCGAAGCCCATAAAATTGTTCCAAGTTTTGCACACAGCAGTTATGCATAACAGAATTTAATCCTAACCAGTTGAAGCACGCCATCAGAGCTGAAAAGAGACTTCACACTCAAAAAACAAGTGAGAAGTAGTTTCTTCCTTATTCCTACACGAACCACATTCCAATTGTGTTGCTTGCAGAACACCTCTTCTAAACAAATTATCTTTAGTTGGGATTCTATTCAAAATAACCCTCCAAGCGAAAGCTGAAACTTTTGTTGGAGCAATGCTAGTCCATATCCACCGAAATATGACATTAGATGCAAATATTATGTCATTCCTCAAGACCTTATAAGCCGAGCTAACTGTATACACCCTTTCTGGTGCAGCTATCCAGGACCATTTATCTTCATTAGAAATATTGAATTTCGTACCATTGATAAAATTAATAAGAGTATTCAGGAGTTGCTGCTCCCAGACCAATAATCTTCTTCTCCAGCTCCACTTCCATTTAACCACACCCCCTCCCATTCAAACATTTCAGCAATAGAAGCATTTTTATTAATTTCTATTTGATATAATCGACTAAACCTATGAGCTAGACTTCCATGACCCACCCATTTATCCAACCAAAATTTAGTGTCTACCCCATTTCCAATGACCTTACAGCATTTACTGGACATCCACTTATTACACACCAAATCCCCTTCTTCAATTCTATTTAGATCTACCCATCATCTTGAGCCCTTTGCACCACTCCCATTTGGCAAATGAGAAGCGATACCGTATAATGATCTAATAACTCTCACCCAAAGACTATTTTTCTCCACTAACATTCTCCAATACCATTTTCCCAAAAGTGCTAAATTAAAGGCCGTCAAATCCTTAATCCCCAACCCACCGTGAATTTTGTCTCTACACACAACATCCCAAGCTACCCAATTTATTTTTCTGTTATCTTGATCTGCACCCATAAAAAGGATTTAAACAAAGACTCAATGGAAGAGATGATACCTTTGGGAGCCTTGAAGAAGGAAAGAAAATATATCGAGATAGAGTGTAAGACAGACTTTAGGAGAGCAATTCTACCACCAAAGGATAAAGTTGTACACTTCCATCGAGAGAGACGTTTTTTAACCTTTTCAATGACTGGATGCCAAGTAGAGATCATCACAAGCAAGCTAACAAAGACGAAACATAAACAAGTGGATCATCGCATTAAAAAAATCAAACACATGATCAATTGATCTAAAATTATATTTCAATTTAATCGAATAGAATTATTTTTGGTGAAGACCAATTTTTTTTTAAAAATATTAATCTATACTTTGAAAGATAAAAATATAACAAAAAAAAGAGAGAGAGAGAGAGAAATAAAAGCAAGAGAAGTATATATAATTTGATAAAAAAAGTATAAATAATAAAATATAAAGTAAATGTTTATATTATTTAAGAGTCTATTTATTATTATTGTAACTGTTGTGATATTTTGATAACATGATAATTGCATCGAGTTTTGTATGACATGTATTATGTGCATAAAAATGTTTTTATGATGGGTATAATACAAAATATGTTGTCAGGGAAGGTCTCCTTTGTGTAAAAGCTTGGAGATTTATGATCTTGGACATAATCAGGTTTGAGAGCCTTAGTTCCACTCGTTTGTGTGGGTGGGGTGTAACTTGAGTGACACCGCTATCTTGATGTATTTTAATGTATCTCCTCCTAGTGCAAACTTCTATGATGACTTGACCCAACATGTTCTCCTAGGCTACTTTGTGTTCCTTTTGGGTAATTGTACAAGGTTAAAATATTTTACTAGCAAGACATGAATATCGTACAATGAGTCCTTATTCATTGTATTTGGTGCATTTATGAACATTTTATGTGTTGAAATATTTTTTAATTTTATGACTAAGTATATTGTGTTTATATCTGAATTGATATATTATGTCTTACTTGTGTTTGATTATCTGACTATATCTTATTCTAATAGTCAAATTGAGATGTTTCTCACTTTCTTATTTAATTTGTTGGTCCTCTTATGTATATTTATAGGTGAGAATCATCTTGAGAATGATGTTAGAGTCTCATAGACGAGACTTAGGCCTTATTTTTTTGTGTTGTGTCAAACTTTGATAAAATGTGACACCGGAGTTTTAGTTAGGATTTCAAGTTTTGTTATTTTTCTTCATGTGTTAAGACTCATGTTAAACATTCATTTTAGATAAACAAAATGTTAGTCTGAAGAACTATTATGCATTTTATACTTTTAGTATCATCTTTGTTTATGTTTTATACTATCATATTTGACATTGGATCATATTATATCTTTACAAAGATGTTCATGTTTGTTAATATTGAAACATAACTCTTGAAGTGACATTGGGATGAATAACCTTAATATAGTAAAAGTGTTAATGGAGTTAGTTTCCAGCAAAGACATTAAATACTTCTTCCAATATCATGGTACCAAACAAAAAATAAAACTTTTGAAGAGTCTTAGGTTATCCTTTGACCTAACACGGACTTTAATTTGTTGTATGTCACATTAATTGCTCAATGAAAATTGTTGCGTGATGAAGCTCTTGATCGACACATAATTGTTGAGTAAGTTTTAGACACTAATATGATCAAGTTTTAGTGAGTTAAAGCCCGTTATGCAAATCCTAATTTCTAAATTATTTGCATGAATCTTTAGTTAGTTAAAGTTAATTTTTTTAAAACATTATTATTACACTTGTATAATCACTATCAAATCATTCTATTATTTAATTGATATAAATATGCCTTTCTTTGAATTGACTAAAGCAAAAGCACTGATTAAAGTGCAAAATCTAACCCCATCAAAAAAATATTCATATTTCAGCGTGAATTACCTGAATTGTATATAACCTCATATGTATCTAGATAACACAGAGTAGATTTTGATTTTTTCCTTAATTCGTACACCTTATAATTAAATTATATCATACAAAACATTCACCCGCATAGAAAGTATCAAGTTTGGATACACTCCCATTATTTTGGCATACACTTGTGTACATATGGAGAGCATTTAATTTTGAAAATTAAACTGGCCAGAATCATTGGATATTTAGAGAATCAATTGGATCAAAGTGGCTAGAAAGAATTCACCCATGTAAAAGGCAAGGTATACTCACAAAGTTGAAGGAGATAAAATTAAGATAATTAAATGCTCGAAGTGTTGCACACTGCCAATATTCCATTTTGAAATGTATAGTATAGATGAATTGCATGTTTATAGAATATATGTCGATCAAATAAAAGGAGGAAGAACCTAGACTAAAATGACCAACCTTGAACAACGTTATTGTATGCTTATTCAAAAACATTGTACATCAAATAAGTCATGATTTTCTTTTTTAATATATAGAACGAGTTTTGATCCTTAAACAGGCATTTTCCTCAAAAGTTGTCCTTGCATGAAGCTGGAAAGAAAAAAAAAAGAGAAAGAAACATATATAAAAGCAATATATATATAGTAAAAACAAATTGCTTGTATATTTTACACAAGCCAATAATAACTATTTTCATTTAAAATAAAGAATACATATGTTGATAATGTAAACAAAATTATATTATGTAATCTTAAATTATATATATATAATATATATATATACATTATTAAACTTAATTTAATATATTTTTTAAAAAGAAATTATTAAAAATATTTTTATATCACAATATAAATTATTTATTATAAATTTAAAATATAAGTTATATGTTTATTTTACAACCACTGTCTCAATATAATTTAATTACCGGTTTAAATGTAAATAAAATTTTGAATTGTTAGAGAAAATGATATCTACAACCGTAGAAGAGTAAAGAAATGGACCTACCTCTTCATGTAATAATAACAAAAGTCAGCCAAGATGAAGGATTGAACCATTTCAGCAATGAAAGATGCCAAGAACCAGAAATAGTTACCCCCACCCCAATAGAATCGTCCCCCTCCAGTCTCATACATCTGCAAATTATTAAAAACCACTATACATCATTCAATCTGTATTTTATAATTCCTCCAATTGCAATCAACTCATTTATTCTTCCTCATTCTTATATAATGTTTTTTTTTAAGAATATCTCTTATATACAGAATAAAATTTATGAAATCATTCATGTATAAAAATGTCTAACTTTTACTCAAAAACACCACCCTTTTTAGAGTAGATTTAGATAATTCTAATATCAATCTTAAGATGAGTTAAAACTTAAAAAGACGATTATGGGTCCAATTCAATCTTTAAAATTGTTCTGTAAAATAAAGGTTGTCTTATATTTATAAACTTTTTGTTTGCTGTATCAGTAATCGACCTTAGATTTGAATTTTTTCTAAAATATTCATTCATATATAGTACTATTAATGTTAATACGTGGGTGGATAAATAGTAATATACCTATTTTAATAATTTGGAAAGGTAGATTTTGAAATATTTTTCACAATAATCTACGAAACCAAATGAAGTAAAAATTGATCTCACCTGAATTATCCAATAAGCCAGTCCCATGAATCTTGAAATACCGAGGGCGAATACATAATACCCTGTAAATGTTTCAATCATCTGGAAAAATACCAAGAATTACAACATATACTAAAAGAAAAAGAAAAAAAAAAAAAGTACTAGAACAAAGCCCAGAGAACCAACCTTTGCGTTCTGCATAAAACGAAGTTGGGGTAGAATAGAAACAGCTTCCAAATACAAGCTGAATGCCCAAATAATTCGAAGAAATAAACTCCAAGAAAATATAAAAGGGTGGATTAGTATCGCAAGGATTGCAACAGGAACCACCTGCCAAAACAATTGGTAGATGTTATTGCTACGTTTATTTTTGTCTATATTCACATCTATTGTCAAATCAAAAGAATTATGCCACCATAAATTATCTTGGGTATGTTTGGAGAATGAAGCACTTTTAGGAGAACAGGGGAGTGTTGTTCATGAAATTTAAAAGAGAAAAAAATAAAAATTATATAAACTCATCTAATTTAGTTCTTGAATAAACAAAAACAGAACAACTGTAATTTGTATCTAATAAGTTAATAAAAAAAGTCTCATGATGATTTAATCATTATGAAACTTATTGTGCAAGCAATATTCTCTCTCTACTCAATTTCATGGTTGAATATGTGTTTCTAATATGGTGTTTGTTTTATTCCATGCATGCTTTAAGTGATTTTCTAATGGTTGATTTACTAGTTTAGTTGTCATAAGATGACTCATAGCAGCATAAGTTTGTGTTTCCAAAGTCATTCTGCAAAAAGGGTTTTAAAGGGTAAGCTGATTCACCCCTCCAAGAGTCTTCTTTTGACAACATTTTGAAGCTACATAAATAAGACTCTGAATTTGTAATTAATAAATGCAACATACTTATTAAACAACCAAAGGTTCAAATTATGCTCCAAATTAAGACAATTACCACAAAGTATAGTCGCAGGTTGTCAAGGTCCTTGATATAGGATGACTTTAACTTGAATCTCATCATCCATATAACCAATAATGTTGACATAAGAGATATAAGATCTAGCACGGTGTGAACGTTAGCCTCTATAAAGGTGCTACAACTTAATCTTGCTGCTAGGAATAAAGCTGTGAGCTCTTGGGTTATAAGCGATAAACCTGAAAATGAAACCAGAAACTTGTTGTTTACCCTTTTTACCAGATTTTATATTAATTCAAATAACTGAAACGAAACAGAGACCAAAGCATTTTATTTTACTTCCATCAAGAACAGATTATGCTAACAAAAACAAAACCAGGGATTTTTATTTTTCTCCTCTTTCAGCCAAACTTTCTAAGGTTCTTCTTTCATCCTCATCCAAAAGTCTCGCTCATCCCTGCTCTAAACAACCTTCAGTTCCTCTTTCCACGATGAAAAACTACAATCAACTATGATGACCTCAAAATCAAATCAATCATTGATAGAAAGAAAAAAAAAATTATTCCATCACTGCTCTTAAAATTCCACATTGAAGAGTTACCGAAAGTTGTTGAGAAGATAAAGATAAATATTAATTTTTATTGAAGTCTTAAAAGTTTAATGATATTTTGTATTATACCCATCATAAAAACATTTTTATGCACATAATACATGTCATACAAAACTCGATGCCATTATCATGTTATCAAAATATCACATGAACAAAATATACATGTTACTCATATCATGTATTTATTATTATTTTATTGTAATTGAAATTTTGACAGCTCAAGTGTTTGCATTTTATATTCAGCCTATATTTTCTCACGATTTCTTTTTGACAGGTTCTAAGAATTAATTTAAATATTTAAATATTCAAAATAATATATTTCTATATTTAGCATTTTAAATATATCTATATTTCTATTAATTTAATATTTAAAATATTTATTATATAAAAATGTAATAGCCATATTAATTTTTTTTACAGTTATTAGATATTCTTAATTGAAATAAATTTAAAAATTAATGATAATATTTTCATTTTTTTAAATTAAGGACAACACTTAAGTGTAATATTTTAGAATTTAGTATTGTTCTTTAATTCAAATCGAAGATTCAATTCTATAGAGAAAGTTGATGCTTAATGCAAATATTTATAACTTGCTGAAATCTAATTTTAATCGAAGAAATCTAAATATATTTCATTTAAACCGTATCCTTTACATTTATAATAATATAAGATTACATGTTACTTATCAACCGATCCACTATTTATTTAAATAGCACACAATTAATATTTGTAATATAAACACGAGCTGTTCCGTGATTTTCTTTAAGAATCTAAACATGCATGAGCTGTATGATAAATGGGAACTAATAATTAAACCAATATTATGTATGACCGAGGAACAATTATTCATGGCCAAATGGTTTTATAATTTGGCCTTAATTAGGTATATTTATTATTTAATAGAAATGCAATCGCAAAATTATAAGTATAGGTCAACAGAAAATGGATCCAGTTAGATCTTATCTCGTCTTTACAGGTGGCTGAGAGACATAATAAGATTTACTGAAGATAATAAGATATCCAGTGTGGCACGTTTCCAACTATAAGCCGTATATATAAATTCATTATAGAAAGGTTTAGCGTGGTTAATTTATGATTTTACGTTTAAAAATTACAATAAGTTTGTAGTTTTTAAAAATTAGTTTTATTTTTTGTTATAATTTTTAAAGTTGTTTATTTTATTATTATTTCATTAAATAAGCAACTGACATGATACTATTTAAAGATCTTATTAGTTGTCTGTGTGTATAAGTGATTAACTCCAAAATAAATTTACCTCGAAAGTTTCTTATGTTGTTAAACACCATTCCGGAAATTTTACACGCCTTTACTACAACCGTTGTTGCACAACAAACTTAGAGTAACTTTCTCTGTCGTTTTGTGAGCCACTGTGTCAGTGAAGCTCTGTTACATTACATTTCATCTATGTGAAACATCCATGCTTAGAAGGCATTTCTTTGGTGTACTAAAGTTGATAACTAAAGTGTAACTGTACTTATAAGGTGTACGTACTTTTCTCTCTTTTATACCATGTATTCTAAACATGATGTAGAAAATTATGTTTGATCCGTTTCAATATTAAATTTTAAAAACTTCTCATTGTATATCGACAGGATGAATATTGGTCATGCAACCCATATAAAATACCTATTTCAATCGATATTAAATATGTTTCCTGACCAGTACATCTTAGATAATGTCAAATGAAAATTCATCCAAGATAACTCAAATTAAATAAATAAATAATGTTCAACTCGTGCGTGGTCCAATAACATGACAAAACATTATCAATGAAACCAAAACAAAAACCAATTATATAAATGAACAAGGAAGAACAAACAAGCAATTAATGTCCTCAACACCTTCCTTTAAGTGTTAACCTTATTAGTATGAACCCCATGTGGGTTGTTGGACACCAATCTCAGAAATCTGCATGCCAAAATTTGACGTTGACTCAAACCATCCAAGTTTTTGTATGAGTTTCTCCATAAGATCACCCACTAAGTAAGCAAGCACTGAGGCCACAGCAGCAGTGGTGACATAGTACATCACTGTTTTGAAGTATGTCAAGTAACTGTTTGGTTTCTTGGTGTATGCTTTGGCAATGGAAAGCAGAATGATGCAAAGCAGAGAAGCTCCAGCAACAGCAGCTACCTTCAAATCCTTCTCATCACTCTCAAGAAATGAAAAGCCATATACCAGTGGTGCCACTAATCCAAAAACAATGAATGATAAGACTGCAATAGAAGCATGAAGAATGAAATTCTTCGTCTGCCCCAACAACTCAATGTATCGATCCACTTGTTCCGATTTTAGTTCCTCCAGCTGAAATGCATACACAGCAGTTTCTCAGTGCAAGCAATAACTTACGATAATAAATAATAAAATATTAAAATATTAAAATATTTTGAATTATGTTTTTTTATTTACATTTTTTAAATATTAAAATTATAGTCATTTTAAGACGAATGAAATACTAAATAACATATTAATATACACATATAGTGTCAGAAGATGGGAATTGAAAGAAAAGAAATATATGATATCATTTACTATATATCTTATTATAGGATACAAATAACTGATTCACAAAGATTAAGAAAAGTTAATTTTAATAGTTAAGATGAATAAATATGTTTTAAATTTATTTTTTTTTTCTTTCTAAAATTACTCCTAAATTAATGGTACATTTAATATATGTTTTCAAAGATTTTACATTTCAAAAACAAAAAAATTATATTATTTGTACTCCACTTAAAATGAAATTCACTTATTTTTTAACTCAATAAATATACTTAATAAAATTATACTTTTATAAAAAATAAATTAATACTTGACATATAATAAATTGAATTTTGTAACCAAACTAAATTAAAAATTTAGGTTCTATAATAAAGATCGAATAGCACGGAATTAAATATTTTGAAGATATAACTCACATTATGAGCAAGTACGAAAAGTCCACCAATCAGATTTGCAATAGCCAGCGCCACAATGTTCACTGCAAAATAATGGAACTGTCACCGATACCGTGCGATGAATTCCCAAATTTTATGCACATAGTATTATTTTTCCCTCTCTGGCCACCTTCTTAATTGTGTTGTTAATGATGCATCCCCATAACTTTTTATCAAAAGGTTCATCATTTAATTGAGTTCACGTTGATTAAAAAATAAAATAAAAAATAAAAAAGGTTTAATAAGCTAATTATATTAGCATCAGATGCAGTAACTTTAGATATGTGAGATTAACTTTTCAGAAGGAGAAATTAGAGAGTCGTGTTACGTACATTGTGCCTCTTTGTGAAAGAGAGAAGAAGGAAAAATTATGTGAGAATGAGTGGAGCAACCAACTTTGGAGAAGAAGTGTTTTGTACTAATTTCTATATATTTTAGTTCTCTCTATTATTTGATTAGATACCTATTTGAGAGTTTTCTTGTATTGTTAACCACTATATTAATGAGAAGTTATTTCTAGTGATCTCGGTGATTCCGGGATGACTTATGGTGTATCCATTAATTATTAATAGTGGAGTTTTTACTGGACTAGGTCTCGTAAATTTTTTACCTCACATCGAGGGTTTCCCTACATTAAAAATTTTGGTGCCTGTTGATTTCTATTTTCCTGTTTTGTGCATCCGGCTAGAATTATCTTGTTGCTTCTAAAGCCTATTATTTTTATACAAAAAAAGGAGATTCAGTTTTGCTTCCGCTTAATTGTTATTATTCTGGTTATCTTTCCCAACAACTGGTATCAAAGCTCCGGTTGGGGTTCTGGTTTCTTTTCTGAAGATGGGTGAAGGCAATGTTGCTGGTACAATGATAAAATTGGATTTCATCAATTACTCTATTTGGAAGTCTCAAATGGAAGATTTGTTATTTTGTAGAGACCTATATGATCCCATTGAGGCTAATGACATCAAACCAAAAGATAAATCTGAAGAAGATTGGAAGAAGGTCAATAGAAAGACTATTAGCATGATCAGACAATGGATAGATCAAAGCATTTGTCATCATGTGTCAAATGAGACTAATACTTTCAACTTATGGAAGAAATTGAGTGAGCTATTTGAGTCTAAAAATGCACAAAACAAGGCGTTCCTCATTCAAAAGTTAGTAAACTTAAAATACAAGGATGGTTCTTCAGTGGCAGAGCACTTAAGCAATTTTCAGAATTTGGTGAATTAGTTGAATACTATGGAGATTGTATTAGATGATGAGCTATTGGCATTATTGTTGCTTAATTCATTACTAGACAGTTGGGAGACATTGGTGGTATCTCTAAGTAACTTTACTCCTAATGGGAAGCTGACTTTTAATATGGTAAAAGATAGTCTCTTAAATGAAGAAACTAAGAGAAAGGGACAAGGAATGACTAGTTCTTCAACTCATAATGAAGCTTTGGTTATGAAATCAAGGGGGAGAAGCCATCAAAGAAACTCACATAGATATGATGATCGTAGCAAGTCATTAAGTGTTTCCATTGTAATAAAATGGGACATGTAATGAAAGAGTGCAGGTTCCTTAAGTGAGATAAATCAAGGGGTAAAGGTAATGATAAAAGAGAAGATAAAGACAAAGACACTACTATAATTGTATCTGATGGTGAAGTTGTCATTGTTTATTATTATAATTCTATTAATCTTGCATTGCAGGAGTATGAATGAGTTATTGATTCTGTTACCTCATTTCATGTTACACCACACCGTGAGTACTTTACATCCTACACTGTCGGGGATTTTGGGCAAGTGAAGATGGGAAATCAAGGGGTAAGCAAGGTTGTTGGCATTGGAGAAATTTGGTTGAAGACTAATATCGGATGCAAGTTACACTTGAAGAATGTCAGGCACATCCCTGACATGCGCCTCAACTTGATCTCAATACAAGAACTTGATGAAGATGGTTACCATAATTCTTTTGGTAATGGCAAATGGAAGTGCACCAAATGGACTTTGGTGATAACAAAGGGAGAGAAGCAGAATACTCTTTATTGGATATCAGCTAAGTTGTCTACACCTTAAGTGAATGCAATTGAGGATTGCTCTACAAATTTATGACATAAACGTCTTGGTCACTTGAGTGAGAAGGGTCTTCATACTCTTGCAAGACAAGGGTTGCTTTCAATTGAAGGTACATCTCTTGAAAGTTGTTCTGATTGACTTGTTGGTAAGCAACACAAAATTTCTTTCCGCACTTATCCTCCACGTAGAAGGCCACATATATTGGATTTAGTTCATACTGATTTTTGCACTATGGATGCTAAAACCCTTAGTGGTTACACTTATTTTGTCACTTTTATTGATGATCATTCTAGAAAAGTGTGGGCTTTTGTTTTGAAATCCAAAGATCAAGTACTTGATGTGTTCGAACACTTTCATGCAAGTGTTGAAAGAGAAATAGGCAAATTGTTGAAGTGTTTTAGAGCAGATAATGGTGGTGAATACAGGGGTCCATTTGAGCACTATTATTAAGCTTGAGAAGACAGTTCCAAAGACCCCTCAACACAATGGGATTGTAGAGAGAATGAACCGCACAATTAATGATAGAATCATATGCATGTTCTCTTATGCCAAATTACCTAAAATCTTCTGGGGTGAAGCTTTGAGAACTACAATGAACTTGATCAACCTTTCATGTCAAGTGGGTCACTAATTTATTTGGGCTCACGTTGATTAAAAATAAAATAAAAAACAAAAAAGCCTAATATGCTAATTGTATTAGCATCGGGTGTAGTGACTCTTGGCATGTGAAATCAAACTTTCAGAAGAAGGAGAAATCAGAGAGCCTTGCATCTCCGTGCATTGTGCCTCTTTGTAAAATAGAGAAGAAGAAAAATTCTATGAGAAGGAGTGGAGTAACCAACTTTGGAGAAGAAGTGTTTGGTACCAATTTCTATATATTTTGGTTCTCTGGTGATTCCAAGAGGACTTGTAGTGTATTCATTGATTATTATTAGTGGAGTTTTTATTGGACTAGGTCTCGTGAGATTTTTACCTCACCTTGAGGGTTTTTCCATGTTAAAAACTTGTGCCTTTTGATTTCTATTTTTCTATTTTGTGCATCCGGCTGAAATTATCTTGTTGCTTCCAAAGCCTATTATTTTTATACAGGAAAAAAGAAGATTCAATTTTGCTTCCGCTTAATTGTTATTATTCTGGTTATCTTTCCCAACACTTTTGCAGACATCTTTATGTGTGAAACTTAAAGTAGAGAAATGTTAGCCATATACTGTAGACACTTTTTAAACACATTTTTATTAATTAAAATTTATTAAAAATATAAAATTTGGTGGATTTATAACCTATTTAATTATTCTTTCTCATAATTTTGTAGTTTTCAATATATTTGAATCCATAAAAGTGAGTGTGCTAAGAGGAGTATATCAACAAGTATATTGTTAGTCGATTATGAAAAATGTTTTAAAAAATTGTTTCATTTTTTTTCTCATAAATATTAAACATGTGTGATTTTGTAAACATTTGACAATACGTAATATTAAATTACAATTAAAAAAGCAGATAAAAAATTTACGTTCAAGTTATAAGGTTACGTAAATATTTATTGGCTCTAGTCTAATTAAATAGTATGGTTTGAAGTATACATAAACAATTAAGTTCCTCTTATGACCAAAATAGCAATATTTTAAAAAGAAAAAGAAGAATGTGGAATGAAATGTAAAATGTGGAACATACATGTGGTAGCGTCAGCACTCGCTGCAGATGTCACAACACTAAGACTTGCCAACGATTCAAGCAAACCACCGTACACAATGCTTTTAAGAATTTCCAATGTCTTATTACTTGATGCTACAGTTGTCGAAATAAGTGGTGTGCTTTCAGTAGCAACAACTTCTGCTGGTTCTGCCAACACATTAAGGTACAACATCATTTCAATGCAATAGATTAGATGATGTAGATTGATATATTTCTCTATGAATGTTAGATATGTTTAGTTTTGTGGCATATTCCCTTATGACTCATCTTCGAAACCAAGAACAATTATCGTGAAGATGAAGACTAAACTATACACCAATATGGTAATATTCTTTTTATCAAATCAGCCAAGCAGTGTTTTCTTGAAAATAAACTATAGTGTAAAATAATTTACTCATATTTTATTTAATTACATGACTAGTTTATCGTTGGTACCTGTGTCAGCTTCATGGATTTTAACCTCTATTTGCTCTTGCTGTTTCTCATCAGGAAGGTCAATTTCAGGTTGCTTTTCACTTTTGGAAGAGCTAGTTTTAGGTTGTTTGGGTATAGAAGCCTTGAAAACATCACCAATAGCAGCCCAGTTACTCCAAAAAGGCTTCTTCTTTGGTGCAATTTCACCTTTATCTTGATCTTTTGAGGCTTCACTTAAGTGACTGGATGAATCTTCTGAACTCTTGTTTCCAGGAATGCTTTCATGTCCTACAAATCAATTAAGGAATAGTATCGCAGCTAACATCAAGAGATATATATGGAGTATAGACAAAACACACTTTTTTCAACAGATAGTTTTACTATAAGTTGAAATGTATGAAATACTCATTCAATGCGAACATAGATGACTTTACTCTTAATTTAATAAATCTTACATGAATATTAACTAACCATTTTTTGAAGAAAACTGTCCCTAATTAAGGATTACCTGTGTCATTGATTTTATCTTCATCTTCAGTTTCTTCCTTTTGTGGTCCTACCTCAGGAGGGACCACTTTTTCAGTGGTTTGCAGACTTTTTTTTCCTTTGTCATCTGATTTTGGGGTATCTTTGGCTTCAGATTGATTCATTTGTTTATTGGGTTGATCAGGTTCTAGAGCCTTGGGTTGTGATGCACCTTTGAACTTTTGGTCAGGGCCTTCAGGGTGATCCATGTTGCCAACCTCTCCTTCAGGTTGATTTAGTTGTTTCTTGGATTGATCAAGTTTAGGAGTCTCATGTTGTAGTTCACCTTCAATTTTTCTGTCAGAGCCTTCAGGGAGATCCATGTGGTCAACATTACCTTCAGATTGATTTATTTGTTTCTTGGATTGATCAAGTTTTGGAGCTTCATGTTGTGGTGCACCTTTGAATTTTTGGTCAGGGGCTTTAGCGGGATCCATGTAATCGACTTCATCTTCAAATTGATTATTTGGTTTTTGTGATTGATCAGGTTCTGGACTCTTGTGTTGTGGTGCATCTTTGGGTTTTTGGCTGGGGCCTTCAGGGTGATCTGTGTAGTCAACATTACCTTTAGAATGATTCTTGTGTTTCTTGGATGGATCAGGTTCTGGAGCCTCGTGTTGTGGTTCACCTTTGAATTCTTTATCAAGGCCTTCAGGGTGATCCATGTAGCCAACATTACCTTCATATTGATTCTTTGATTGATCAGGTTCTGGAGCTTTATGTCGTGGTGCACCTTTGAATTTTTGGTCAAGACTTTTCGGGTGATCCATGTACCTAGGCTTATCTTCAGATTCATTCATTTGTTTTTTTGATTGATCAGGTTCTGGAACCCTGTGTTGTGGTGCACCTTTAAATTTTTCATCTTGATCTTCAGAGTGATCCATATGACTGATCTCACTTAATCAAACTAGACTTTTTTGTTGTTATGCGTGTCTATTGTTATTTGATGAAACAGTCACTGTTAAAACAGTTAGATGCTATCAACAAAAGGTATAGATAGTGATATCAGTTAAAATGAAACTTTGAAGAGACATAAAATAATTTTGTATGAGGGAAAATCATTCAGCAATCAGGAAGTAACTCGTGCTCTGCTGCAACATGGCCACTAAACTGGGTGTTAAGGCCAAACTGTGTTCATAGTTTGACATCAACAACCATTACAATTAAATAATGCATTTGAGTTTATAAATAAAATCTATTGATTTTGAAACTTCAAGGGTGTTTACACAGTTTTAAATTAGATTGCCTTTTAGTGCAAAGCATATCATCGAGTCAACATTTCTGATGGTTAAGTTCGTTAAAAAGTCAACTTGATCAAAAGGACAAATTTTATATCAAGTTCTCAATATCCTTGCCATCAACATCTAAAATTAAACCAGGGCATGTGTATTTTTCCGCTAAAGAATAATATGATAATTTCTAGATAAACGTTCCTGCCGTTATTTAATATATTTGAAAACTTGATGACAAGAATACAAGAAACTTGATTTGAGTTTTGTTTCTAAATTCTAATCAAATAGATTTAGTACATTACCTTGATCTTTAATGCTGCACCTTCATCAGATACCAACCCAGGGAAAAACCAACTACCTGTTAAAACCAAAAAAGAATTCAGAGTTTAGATCACTTGTAATGTCATAGATAAATAAATTAAGGACTAAAATAAAGTAGTAAAAGTACCGAATAGCGATTAATTGGAATGAGGAAACTGAAGCAAAATGAGCATCATATTTTATGATCAGTTGGTTGGTTGGTTGTATTGTAGGTGTTGAGCAGTTCTGTTGCAACTAAGGGTCAACTGCTGACACTAGCGAAAAATTAACGAATGATGGTGTTTGCACTATTACATGTTATTTACTTCAGAATTTTCTTCATACTATTTTGTAAAATACCGTTGAAAAACAGAACATGAATACATAGCTGTATAGTTAAACAAAATACAGAGACACATACAAAAGGAATAAAAATTGATTTGATTATTTGAGTTATGAAGTCAGTTTTACATATATTGAAAATGTTTATAGTAAATATTTTTAAATTTTAAATTTGGTTAACTCCTGATTAGATAAAATAAATAATAAAATATGATTAAGTCTTAAATCCTAAACTTTTAGTTAAACTTACAAATAAAACAGAAAACAGTAGAGAGTTTGAAATATTTAATTATGATAATGAAAAATAATAAGAATATACATTTTATGCACTTATTTCATTCATTATTTTTTGAAAAACTAAAAGATAATAGTAAAAAAAAACATAAAAATATACCAATAAATTGTTAATTTGAATAGTAATATAGATCTCGAGTTCAAGTTTAACTCTTTATATATATATATATATATATATATATATATATATATATATATAAATGCGCGAG